TCACCATTGCTACTTTCTCTGGAAACAGAAAGTCCAAGGTTATATATAAGCCCAGCAGGATATATCGCCCTGTGTAGTTTTTATTTTGTGTCCTTTTTGATACAGTTCTCATTGGATAGCCCACACTGGCTTTTATCCTCACCATGTGGACCTTTTGAATTCATGATCATACTTCCTCAAACTCCCCCGTAGTCCTTTAAGGACTTAGAAGAGTCCATCCGGAGCTGTGAGATTGGTCAGTGCCTACAGGTGCCTCTCTCCAAGTCCAACAACTGTAGCTCAGCCCCAGGATCCATATGGCAGAAGAAGGACAACAATCTCCTTCCAATTGTTCTCTGACCCCATGTGCAGCTGAAGAATGGTTACAAGCACAGACACACAGACACAGACAGACACACACACACACACACACACACACAAACACATACACACAAAACACCCCAGAAGTCAATGAAATATTTTAAAATGAATGTTTTTAAAGAAAAATTCAGTGCACAATCCATGGAAATGCCTTCCAGATTTTAGGTTTTTTTTTAAAAAAAATGGTTAATTAGTGGCCCAGGCATGTCCAACCTTTCAACATTGCAAAGGCACCTTGTTACCTGTAGAATTTCTGCTCAAGAATCATGTGATCACGTTACAAAACTAAATCCTGCAATATTAAGTGAGTTGAAGATTTTATGTTAGGCTCAGTTCATTACTATCCTGGGACACGCGTGACCCACACGCTGCAGGTGTGACACACCTGGTACACATTTGACTGAAACTACTTGGAAAGCCATAAACAGTGACTCTGAAGTCATCACATGTGCAGTGGCCAGTATGTCCCATGGGAGCTGCTCTTTCTAACTCACAGGCAATGAAGTTAATGCATGGGATGATTAAGGTTTTTAAACATTCCTAAATCCTTGGTTTCATTACACCTATCAAAATATCCCAGAAAAATGTAATTTATGCGTCAGAGAGTTTTGTGCTCTTTTTGAATGACATGTAGACTTTTAAATGGCGCCCAAATTCTGTGGTGCTCAAATAGCTTCTAGAGCCCTTTGTCATTGGCATCTCAGATAGATTTTCAGTTTTCTCAAATTAAGTCAGATTTCATAATGAGTGAAGTCAAAGCTATTCTTGGTATTCTATTGTCTTGTCTTTATTTTCTGTTCTGTTCCCACGTGTGTTTCAGATGTTCTATTCTGAAGTTGAATTACTACCCTGCCCTCTTGTGGAGCCCTCAGCTGACAATACAAGCGTGAATGTGCTAAGTTCAGACGCTCCCCACTTAACGTAATAATAGCTCTGCATGTAGCAGTCCGACCTTAGGACTGGAAAGAAATGACACACATTCAATAAAAACTGAACTTGTGAGTTTGACCCTTTCTTGGGTCATCAGTTTGTACTAGCACCTTCTAGTGATGCTGGGACATCCTTTTCTACTTGTCAGCCATTCCATCCTTTGGGTGATCAGCCAAGGCTCTACAGTGTGCTCTGTTGCTGGAATTTGTTTGATATTGATTTCCAATAAATAATACTAGTAATCCCACACATTGGTATACAGTAGGCTTTGCATTAAATGACCTTGCCCAGCTTTGAGCTAATTCTCAACATTCAGAGCCTATCTACCATAGGGTAGGCTACATCTTCAGTCTGGATGGGGTATTACATGCATTAGCCATTTGTGGGACTTTTGCTTGGTGATGGATTTATCAGAGCGTGAATCTTCCTTAATAAAGAAGCATCAGTAACTTGCCCCAGATCAAGTGACAAATGCCAGAGCCGAAAGGTTTTATTCTACTCCCTTCAAAGACCGTGATGTCCCACTGTCTTTGGATGCTTTTTGACTCTTTTCTCTCATGTGTTCCTTTGCCTTTCAGTTTTTTTTTTTTACTTAATCATGATAAAATGCACACCACAAAATTAAACATGTTAACCATTTTAAAATATATGTTTTATTGGCATTATGTTCACTTACATGGCACAATTATTGCCACCACCTATCTCCAGAATTTTATATCAAAATACTGGATTGTTGAGCACTAGGTCCATATACTGTGGAATAGTCCACAAGTCTCAAGGCAGCACATGGATTAATAGAAATGGGTTAAATTGAGTTAGCCAGTAACAAACTGAGCTATGGGCTGACCCTTTATACGTAATATGAAGTCTCAGTGTTGGTTCTTTGGGAAATGGCTGCTGGGACAGGAATGCTCTGCCTATAACCATACCCCATCTCAGCCGGACGACTTCCATTCCTCTTTAGTCTATGAGTGTGATCATTCCAGACCCTTATACAAGTGGAATCATACAGTATCTGGCCTTTAGTGGCTGGCTTGATCCACTTAGCATAATGCCCTTAAGATATGTCTGTGCTGGGCCAGGGGATGGCTCACTGAATAAAAGCACTTGCAGTCATAGCTGAGGAAATCTCTGTGTCTTCTAGGACACCTGACACAGGGTCCAAATGGTTTTGCTTTTCATTCCATCCATTTATGGAAGATCCATTTTATAGAAGAAATGACTCCTATATCCAGTGACCTGAAAACCAAATTAGGTGTCTCCTAAGTAGTATTCTAGCTTAGAAAAAATGGGCAGATTGGAAATTAATCTTGTTTATATTCTTAGCTTCATCTGCTATGCAAGTGGGTTACACATGGAATATTTTAAACCAGTGTGGCAGAGTGCTTTCTCCTCAGGGCCTCCAGCAGTACCGTAGAGGAGAGCCATGTGATAATCAAAATCTAAATAGGACGCTAGTCTGAAGAGAAACGTGCCGCTGGTGGCTATGCAGTGCCTCCACAATCCCCGGAAAGCTGTGAGCTGAGTCTGTGACCTGGACTTATGCATAGATATCAATGTGAAGATATATGTCAGCTCATACTAAGCTAAATGCTGTCACCTTTTAAATGAAAATTTCTCTAGGATTTTTTTATTATTACTAAAATTCTACTTAAACGTTTAGAATTTTGTATTGTATCTTAGCCGAAAATTACAGTATACCAGGAACAGTGCTCTCGTAGGGACACATTCCTTGAGAACAGAATTGGTGTCATTTTTTTATGGCCCTGGATATCTGGTCCAGATGGTCAACAGCATCCCTGGCCTCTAGCCACTAGAGGGCAGTAGTGTACCCACACCATTTGTGACAAAGAGAACTGTTTATGGTAGTTTTCAAAAGAGGGGAGGAATTTAGGGGACCCAGAGAATAATAACTGACCTATTGGGGGATTTTAAAATAAATTTTCTAAGTTAATTAACTGATTAAAAAGTAATATTTACAATAAAAAGTTCAATCCGCCCTCCCCATCTCTCACCCACCTACCTGCCTATTCCTCCTACGGCGTGCCTCTCATCTTATAATCTTGAATTCAGCAAATATGTTGCTTGGCTGTTTTATACAGTTCCTCTGGATACAGGGGATACAGTGCTCCCTGAAAGGTTTAGAGAGGACAGAAACATAGAATGGGCAGCCGATGACAGAACAGGCATTCATGACTGTGTGAAACCAAACCTGAAAAGAAAGGAAGCTAAGAAAAAAACAAAACCAGAAAGAAAAAAGAGAAAAAGGAAATCATCCCACTCCCTTCTCCTAAAATGTCTTAAGCAGAGAGATAGTCATTTTCTTGGTCTAGCGTTACCAGAGAAATTGAACAATGTCGGTAGGTGTGACGGACAGAGCTGCTGGACAGACAGACAGGAAGGATGAAAAGTGTCCAGGAGAGAACGTATCTCTGCTCACAGCAGCAGTTACAGGGCCAAGAAGGTGGGCACAGCTCTCACATCCCTTGGTGGATGAGCTAAGCTCAGGTGAAGCCTGCAGCAGCCTCAGAGCAGAGAGAAGTTCTGGTGCCACGGTCGCATACATGAGGCTTATGGGGTGGGGAAGTGGGTTCCTGCCTGTGTGTGTACACACATTTGTGTCAGGGCAAATGCAGACACTTGTGTATACACATGTGTATTCCACATGTGTGTGAAACTCAGAGACGACCTTGAGTGTTGGTCCTCACCTCTGTCTTGTTTGCAACAGGGCTCTCTCTTGTTCTTTCCCCTGCGTACACCAGGTCAGCTGCCAACAAGCTCCTGGGACGACCCTGTCGCTCAGCTTCCCATTCCCCCGTAGAAGCACTAGAATTACAGATGCTCATGCTATGTGCCCAGCCTTTATTTATTTATTTTTTCTATTTTATTGAGACAGGGTTTCGCTGTAGCTTTGGAACCTTTCCTGGAACTAGCTCTTGTAGACCAGGCTGGCCTCGAACTCACAGAGATCCGCCTGCCTCTGCCTCCCAAGTGATGAGATTAAAGGTGTGCGTCACCACCGCCCAGTTGTGCCCAGCTTTTGTGGGGGTCCTGGGAATGGAAACTTTGGTCTTCACCACCTAAAAATCTTAGCCAGTGTCCGGAATGACAGACAGGACAGCTGTGCAGTGGCTGACCTGGAAATTGTCTCATGTGCGAGCTATTAGGGCTAGATCCTGGTTCTCAACCTGTGGGTCGAGACCCCTTTGAGGTTCAAATGACCCTTTCACAGGAAATGCGTATCAGATATCCTGCATATCAGATATTTGCATTATGATTCTTTTACAGTAGGAAATTTACAGTTATGAGGTAGCAATGAAGTAATTTTATGGCTGGGTCTTCCTAACATGAGGAACTGTATTCAAGGATCACATCATTAGGAAGGTTGAGAACCGCTGTTCTAGATACTTGGTCAGCTAATCAGATCTGTTTTAAGATGGGATCCAGACTAAATGGAGGATATGATATAATGCCAGGATGTCCTGATCACTAGCCCATGTCCTTTGCGTGTCCTTTGTGCAGCGTGAGAAGACAGGTGTCCCTAATAAGAAGCTTGAGTTCTTAATCATTAATGCGAGACTATTACCAGGCTTGGTGACAGGGTCATATCCCATCGGTGGTCAGAAGGGGTCCTCCTGCCTATGAAACTGGTCCTCGGGGCTGTGAAACTCCCAAGGCTAATCTGACAAGTGCCTGTGTTTCTCCTCCAGGACGTGGGAAGAAGGCAAGGTGCTCATCTTTGACGACTCCTTTGAGCACGAGGTGTGGCAGGATGCCTCGTCATTCCGGCTGATCTTCATCGTGGACGTGTGGCACCCCGAGCTGACCCCTCAGCAGAGACGCAGCCTTCCTGCAATTTAAAAGGAATTGTCACAGCCTTGGGTGCGCTGCTGGGAAGCTGCCTCTCTGCTGCTCCTGAGGTGTGGAGATAGACGTTCAAGCCCCGTGACTCTTTCGTCCCATTGACTTGCAGCTGAAGACCTCTAAGGTTCCTTCTGGATGGGAAATCGCTGGGAGGAGTATTTGCCTTACTGCAATTCATTTAGGAGGCCCCTTGCTTCAAGTCACCCATGGCAGCACTGAACTTCTGCCCGGGTTGAAGGGAAACACTTGGCTGTGTCTACATTGCTAGCCAAAGATATTTTTCTACATGGAATAGTGTGCACGGAGGCTATACCATTATGGAGAAACTGTGAACGAATCACTTTCGTTTGTAATTTTTCTAGACAGTTGTATTTTTCTAGGTAGTCAAACTATTCTGTCACCATCTTCCCTGTGTTTCTGTCAACTTTGATGACAGGAAGTACAAATGTGTCCCTTCTGACTAAATAGTAATTCTCTGGTCAATTCAGACATATTCCAAAAACAAAAACAAAAAACAAAAAACACTTGTGAAAAAGGCAACTTTATTTTGTTTTCCTAACATAAATGGGAAGTTGCTCCGGGATATATAAACTGTGCCAACCCTTGCCCTTGGATCTCCCTGTGTATCTTCGTTTAGACTCTGCGTCTTCTCCCATCTCTGCGCTTATCATAGAAATGCTATCAAGCTCTTATTCCTAAGAACAACGTTTTCTCTTTGACGCTGAGCAAAGCCATGGAGATATATAATGTTGTAATATGACAATACCACAGACATCGGAGCTCAGAGAGAAGATGTAACATGGACGTGAACGTTCCCACTCGGGGTCAGGTGGCCAGATAGCCTGGACTCTTTGTCTTCTGTGCACAGGGCCTGGAATCTGCAATGGCCGTCTGATCTAGGTCCACTTGGTCGCCAGGAAGATGGCTGCTTGGTTTCTGAGAGTCTCCTCACAATTCTGTCCGTGTCGGAGAGCAGCGTAGGAAGTTCCCAGGGCTGCTAGGACCCTCCCCGAGGTGGAGCTGGTAGAGCTTGTTGAATTCTGAATTCACAGGCCATTTCCATCGTCCACACTCAAAAACAAGCCTGCCGCCTAATTATTATTATTTTGAAACAGCGTTTCACATGTATGTTTGATCTGAGTACAGCCCGTGCCATAGGAAGAAGAGTGGAAAGTCATCTTGCTCCTCGTTCCAAAGATGAACAGTTCACCGGTAAAGCATCACTGCCTTTGGTTTTCCGTTTGACAGTTAAAGCTAACTCAAGCCTCAGAATGTAATGCCATTCATGCACTGATCCCCAAGCCAGTCGAACAACAATGCTGCAGAAATGACACGTATTCCAGCCACATAGGTGGATAAAAACAGATGCATTCTTTTCATACAATGTCAAAAGAAGATGCTTTCTGAACCTCACTTAGCAAGCAATTCTTTGAGATTGGCATGGATCCTTTTTCTTTTAGCTCAAGGATACTAGCTTTTAGTAGGACGTTTACAAAATATGTGACCATTCATTAAAAAAAAAAAAGGTACTTTTTCCTTCTTTTGCCAATGTTCAAAAATTCCTCTAAGGCATGGGAGAAAAATAGCAAATCATCCCCAAATTCCGGAAAAGAAAACAAACCCTCAGAAAAGAAAAGGTGTTTGTGTTCTTCAGTATTTATTAAATGGAGGAACTTACTGACAAAAGGCAATACAATTCAGTGTTCATGTTGTGACACTCGGCCGCCTATTGGGTTTGGTTCTCCGACATATTACATACACATAATGAAATGCAAACCATATGTTCTCACTGTTAAACTGTCACCTTACATTCATGTCATAAAATGGTAGAAATCAGTGAAAATTAGCTTTTGACTGAGTAAATATAACATGGTTTTTAAAATATGGTCATTACAGTAGGATTCTAAATGTCGTCATGTGGAAGGCCAGAGGAACCGTTGCTGTGACACAAGTTGGCAATCGTTGACTCCAACAATATTTTGAGTACTTGGATCCCCACATTTGTTTTATAAACCCAAGCAATAAAAGATTTTTAATTCACTTTAATCTTTCCGTTCTCTCACTCGTGTCATGAGAAGAGAGTTTCCACCGGTGCCTCGGGAGACATTTTTCAGGGTTGGCATTTTATGATTCAGAAGGTCTATACCAAATGAATTGGTGTTTTTATATACGATGATACAGTTATTTGAGAAATCTTTTAAATTCTGTCTCAGTTTTACTCCTTCAAGGTTGGAACATAAAAATAGTATTTGTTACTATTCTCTACTAGTGAAAAATAATAATAAGCCAGTAGATCAACCGAGAAGGAATGTATGTCTAGAATGTCGTGCAAGGCTCAGGAGGGAAACACTAGCCTGGAAAGACAAGGTCCGCGTTTTGATCTCCAGCATGGGAAGGAGGAACGGAGAGAGGGATGGAGGGACAGAGGGACAGAAGGAGGGAGGAAGAGTCAGAGAAAAAAAACAAAAGAGAAGGGGGAAGAGGAGAGATAGGGGAAGGATAGCAAAAGAGAGACACAGAGGGAGAAAGAGGCAGGAACAGAAGGTAGACAGAAGAGAGAGGTGTTCACAACTAGCCGTATTGTTTAGATGATTATGCCTGGTTGAAAGCTGAACTGGTTTCCTGTTTTCTTAGGTTGTTCAACTAACAAATCAACCTACCAAAGGCATAAAGTGTGAAATAGTTTACTAAGCATTATCAATCGAGATTTCCTTTTGGTGTTAAGCACTCTGGTCATATTAGTCAGTGCCAATGTCACACAGATAGATGGGGAATAAGATATCTATGTAACTCAGCTGGTCTTGGGAAACATGGCACAAATAAAACATTCTAACCTTTGATGTCTGTTTTCCGTCTGACTTCCTGTGAGTAGGGATTGGGGTCCATTTCTAAGGAGAATGGATACAGACGTAGAGTGGTCTTTGGCATTTCATCTTGGCAATTTTTTTTTTGTCTTCTCTTAGCTCAGGACTTACATGTTAAGCCATCCTTGAGGCCCTTGCTGTGTGATAGACTGCCTGCTCAGGACCATTCTCCACAGTTCACAGGAGGGTGGGACTCAGTGCCTTGCTAGCACTTTCCTTTGCTGTAGGAACCCAAGGACTAACTTGAATGGGCTTATCAGTATGTGTTTTTTTTTTCAATGAGTTGCCTGCTCTCTGTAGACATTCCCATGAATGCCTACAGGAAATCACTTTGCTAAGATGAAGCAGTCAGTTGGCCACTGCCTGTGTCTTCTTTAAATCCAATTCATGAAGTTAGCTGGTGGCCCAACTAACAAATCATTCTTTCAGGATATTTAAATTAAGAAGTTTGCCCACAGCCGGACCTGTGAGGTCATGCTCTCAGGCTGAGCACTTAGATGCTGGTGATGGGTTGGAACGTAAGTCAATAAAACAGGTCATTAGTGTAGCGACTATTGTCTTGGAGTTCTGCACTCCGTTACACTTGACATTGTCTCTGAACAGTTTCACACTGCTGTCATTATCTGGAAATGCATGTCATCTTAATGTGCAAACCCTGGAGAGGGTCCTTGTGTGACTCCTTAGAGTAACTGTTGTCCTAGTGTGTGCGCAGCCAATTCAGTCTTTCCCTGTGTGAGTGCATTTGCTACCATAAATGTGTGGGGAGGGAGAATCCTTTTTACACAGATGCCTCGCTTCATCCTCCTAATCCCTCCCTAAAACAAATTAATCGGTTAACTTGAGTTTGAGGAACATCCCTTCGATCTTTGTCCAGTGTGGGCTGCTCAGACCAATGGCTGCTGGCGGTCATGGCTGGGGAAGCAGTGGAGGACCTCCTGTCGGGCAGAGCCTGTGTGTCTGTAGGTCAGTCGCCCGGGGGGCTCCCTGGGCAGCTGCTCCACTGGAGGCTTGCGTGTGGGAGCATCACGCGGGCGACGTGGCTCAGTCCAGAGCCAGCAGGGGCTGAGTGTTCTCGTTTTCTCCCTTCTCGTCATGTTTCAGGGTCCCAGCTTCTACCACAGACTGAGATCTAACAAGAGAGGAAGGAGACACACATAATCACAGACAGTTCGTGCTGGTAGCGGTTGTTGTTCTAGAGAATCAAGACACGGAGAACAGCTACTTAGTATTTCCTTTTTGCTGTCTGTTCCCAAAAAATAAACACCACTTTATTTTTTGATATTTTTTTCTGACAATTGAACTTAGCCATTCTGAGATTCTACCCATCAGCCTTTTGCTTCTGCTGAATCTGTCCTGTAGCTTTTTGCTGTCATATACCATAAAATGAGTATAAATTTTTGTGCTTGTGTCCAACCATCAAATAAAAATAAAGGTGATTGATGTAGGTGGGCCTTCTGTCTATGTGTTATTTTCATTGGTTAATAAAGAGACTGCCTAGGCCCTTTGATAGGACAGAAAATTAGGTAGGCAGAGTAAACAGAACAGAATGCTGGGAAGAGGGCAATGAGGTAGACGCCATGGAGCCAGCCACCAGGTCAAACATGCTGAATCTTTCACCGTAAGCCACCACCTCGTGGTGCTACACAGATTATTAGAAATGGGTTAATCAAGATGTGAGAGTTAGCCAGTAACTAACTCTCTAGGGATAACGGGCCAGGCAGTGTTTAAATGAATACAATTTGTGTGTTGTTATTTCTGGGGCTAAGCTAGCCGTGCGGGAGCCAGGCGGGATGAAAAGCAGGCCTGCCCGCAGCTCCTCACTACAAGTGATCCCAGAGACACAAAACCGCTAATGAGAGTTTTGGGTGTGCTTGGTGGGTGTCTAAGGGTTTCTTCATACTCTGAGCTTACCACTTTCACAGCCCTGAGAAATGGTGCTACTGTCTCCATTTTTAAGTGCAGGGAACAAATTAAAGGATCAATAGACAAGTAACTTGGGCAAACGATATGGCAAAGTGGAGAGCAAGGTCTGCTCGGTATAGCTCTGTCCCTGGAAGCGCTGTGGCCTGCAGGGCTGCCCTGGGGGAAAGTCTAATGACCCTTCCTTCCACTGTATTGGGAAGATAACTTGCTGCCCGAGGTTTTCAGCTCCTTTTATAATATGTATGCAATGCAGAAAGCACAAGATTAAAACATCAATCAAGGCTGAATATGGGTGGTGTGTGTATCCGTGCGATGCCAGCTATGGGGAGATAGAGGCAGGAGAATCATATTTTCAAGGCCGCCCTGGGAAGTGTAGTGAGTTCCGGACCAGCCTAAATTGCACAATGAGATCTGTTTCAAAATAAAAGTAAAAAATGTACCATGAAAGACACAAACAGCAAGTTTCTACTATAAACACCAATCAACTCAAATGCCGTAACTAGATGTGTGCGGTGTTTTGGAAGTGAAATGGATCCATCTGTTGCTGGGGTGGCCAGATGAGCCACGGGCAGTAGTAGAACTTCGGATTTTCGACACAGTTCCTATGCGTTTCTCTGCCTATTTAAGAGCCCAACGTAAATGTTGGGTGAGAGGAAGGAATGCAGATTTACATAATTATAAAAAAAGATGAGAAACTCCTGAAGACATCAAGGCAAACAGGCCTGGAGGTTCAAACTGGTACAACCAGAATTTGGGAGGTGGAGGCTAGAGGATCGTGGGTTCAAGGCTAGCCTGAGCTATGTTTTGAGGTCTCATCTAAAAATGAAATACAGCAAACATGAACGAGACCCAGAGGATCCCAGAAGTATGGCTATGAACCAGAAAATCAGCTACCTCCAGCACTTTAACCCACTGCCTAATTGGGCCTAATTGGGCCTAATTGGACCACAGTCCTGGAGTCAGGGTGAGGTTTAATTCTCATCAGCACTGCTCACACACTCTTCCTGAAGACAGCCATCTAGGGAAGCTCACTCCTCTATGCCTCAAAAGGTCAATCCCATGAAATTCTCCTTCACGTTGAACTCGAACCTGGTTTGGAAAACATCTATGTCCTATCTGTTGTTCGTTGTCCCAGAGGCACAGAATTCCTGCCGTCTGTCCCCCTCTGCATATGGGGTTTGGTTCCAGGACCCTCGAATACAGAATCAAAAGATGATCAAGTCCCTCATATTCAGGTGCAGCATCCACATAAACCTGTGCTCACCCTCCTGTAAATAGAATGCCTGCTACAAAGTACAGACCGTATTGTTTACGGAAACACGACAGGAGGAGAAGGCTGTGCCTGCTCAGTGCTTGAGTCCACTGTGTACGACCTTTGGCTGTGGAAGGCAGGGCATGCACAATCCCACCAGGAGTCTGCTTCCAAGCCTTGTTTTAGTTCAAGTTCTCCATCCCTAACTCCACTCCTCACTGAGGATAACTGGATTTTCCTTGTGCCAAGGTTTCTAGAACTCTCCACTCCGGGCTGTCTTTATCAGCCAGGTGCTGACCCACCAGATCCACGGGGTGACTGAAGGACAGAGCAGCATGTTCACACCATTTGTCAATGTTCTGCTGGGGACAGCAAGGACCACATGCTCAGCTCTGGCATCAGTGTCTAGCAGGCTGACTTATAAGTGATGCTGTTCACCCGTCTCCTCCTTCTCTCAAAGGTTCTCTTCAAGAAACTTGAGGTGACATCATCATTTTCATCATGTTACATTTGCTTCATGTCTCCAACCTGTATCCGTCCTTTTAGGTCTTAAAATGCTTTGTCAATTCAAGTTATTATCTATGATTGTAATGACTATTAGGTTTGTTTCCAAACTTCCTGTACCCACATGATGATGAGAGAAAAGGGAGTAAATCTCAAATAGTTTTCAAACTCTCACCTGTCCCCACTGACTGATGTTAAGTGATTGTAGACGGCAATTGCTCATTAATTTCCTGGCCACCCAGACATGATAATCACACAAGAACTACACTAACTACAACACTGTGTGGCCAATAACCTATGCATATTTCTAACTAACTCATATCTTAAATGAACCCATTTCTATTCATCTGTGTATCACCACGAGGCTGTGGCCTACCGGGAAGGTTCTGATTGGCGGCTGTCATCTTTCTCCTTCAGCAGCTACATAGCATCTCTTTGACTCCTCCTACTCTCTCTGTATCTCTGTTCAGATTTTCCACCTGGTTTTCCTCTGCTAAGCCATTGGTCGAAACAGCTTTATTCATTAACCAAGGGCAATAAAACATATTCACAGCACACAGAGGGGAATCCCACATCCAGTGGTGTTTGTAACACTTTGCTGTCTAACAATTACTATGAGCAAACATGCAGAAATCTTTGTTGTTAAGTCACCCATCCAAACAAGAATGCAGACAGACCTGTGCAGATGCCCCTTTGCCCAGCTGGAAAGATGTTCATGAGAACTTGGAAAGAAGAAGAGGCAGAAGGAGAAATCTATCTCTCACACACTAGTGTCGTCTGTCCTTATTCAGATGGCCAGTCTGAATTCACTCTCCCCTTCACATGGGATATAACTGGTGCCTGTGTTATTTCTTTCAGTAGATACATTGACAGCAATGACCTGGAATGTTTTACCCAGTAGACTGTGTCTTGGTTGACTGGTAAGTGTCAACAGGCCTGTTCCAAGACATTAAGGACGAGGAAGCAAACATTTTGTCCCAGGTTTGTATGTTCCCTAATGAGAAGAGTGCCATGACCTCTTTCAATATGATGAGATTCTTTTTACCTAGCCACACAATAAATGTTTAATATTAAGAGTGTATATAAGTGACTCACTATTTCATAAAAATTTAAAATTCACTGCAAATAATAGCAAACTTATTTTTTTAATGGAAAGGGTTAAAATGAGATCTAGTCGATGTGAGCTCATTGGGAAGACATGAGCATCCAGCAAACTCTTCAAGTCTATCTTCTGGGTCTGGATAAGAACAGTCCTGCTCAACGTGTGGTCTAAAATACCACTGCCCTGTGGTTATCTAGATTTCAGTCTCGTCCTGTCTGACGAGTTGTTAGAACTGTTTGGAATCTCCTTCCAGGAGACAAGTCCCCCCACCTCTGTCTAGTGCCTATTCCTTTTCCCAGCATGAGATTCCTAGGGAGATTCTTGAATCTTGCCCTCGGTGCATTAGCTAAATTAAAATTCTCTCCAAACGTCAAGTCAGCTGCTTTCTGATGACAATGTCTCCATCCGGTCAGCACCATAGACAAGTTCATTCTGGGCTCCATCTATGCAAGAGAAGCTGAGTTCTCATGCTAAAACAAATGTTTGTGTTGGTCCTCTTCCCAGCGTGGAATAGCATCTAACCCCAGGGTTAGGCAGGGAACGCCGGACAATTTCAGTGGTGGAACAGGCAAACGAGAAAAGTTTCAGCTAGCCCTCACAACAATGCTTTCTTGCTGTTCTGTCTTGGTCTGGCTTTCTTTCTTCCTCCTTTGCTTCCCTGTCTCTCTTTTCACTCTGGAACATTTCCTCCTCCATGTAATGAAGGACTTTGGCTAAGGTTTAATATTCAGCAGATTCCAATGATGGGCTTCCAGGAAGAAGATGTCATCAAAAGCACAGGCCTGATGGGTTTCCAGGAAGATATAATCAAAAGCACAGGCCATGAATCAGTTAGTTCATCCTGAATGGATCAACAACCAGAATTACAATTTGGATCTCAGGAGGGGGTTTATATCCAAAACCTTCCTTAGCCATGTTAACAGCTGACCATAACATTGTATTCTTGTTAATGAACCTCTATCGCCTATCTGAACCATGGAGGACCCCTACAAGGGCCTGCCTGCCACGTCCTTTACATGAAGTATACACCATGAGTCCCAATGCAAGGGCCCAAAGGAGGGCAGAGATGGTTCGCTCAGGCCCTCCACTGACTCAGGGGCTACCCATTTGTTTTCTACAGATCAGCCTCTGCATTTCACCAGGAAGAACTCCAGAAAGGTTGGTTTAGCTTTTGAAGTCAACAATAGGTTTGATGTTGTGGAAGAACTTAGCGTGCACTATGCGGCATTTCGAACAGAGAGTTCTTATCAACTCTAAAATAAGAATCTAATATAACAGCCCAGAAACATGACTGAGTGTGTTCACAATGCCTGCTTTGAGCAGAATCTAGTTTCTTCGGAATTGGACC